GTTGTGGCTCGCGCAGGGGACGCCGCGTCGGGCGGCCCCCGAAACCTGGCCCAAGAGTCTTGCGAACCCCGAGGCCGGACCACCATTCTGAGCCAGTCGTGTAGTGGTCTCTGTTGGTTGCGGATCGTCATTCCAAGCGTTAGTAGCAGGTTGCCCTGCGTTTGCCTCAATGTGGAGGGTCTCGGTTCGGCGACCGTGACTGATACGACCACCAGTATTGCCAGGGGTTCTCCCAGCAATGTGAACATATGACCTCACGCGTTCAAGTCGAGAGTCAAACTGTTCCCGGTCCCTCGGCATGTGGTGGTTTAGTGGCTGCAGGAGTTGCTGTGCGCGCGATGTCCCTACTCCAAGGTCTTTGAATCAAATAACTGTTAGAATTTGGAAGTTGCGGATGTTCAAAGCCTGCCGCTTCGGCTTCATAGCGGGCTATCTCGAAGCGTGCCAAAGTCTGGTCGCTCCGTTCTCCCGCATGGGCTCGGAAGTCAATGAGAGCTGTACCAAAGTTGAGTTGGCTTTCCTCTTCTAGGGTCTCGAACTTCGTACTTAAGAGGAGCATAATGTAGGTGACGCCATCGGCATGGCGGCCACCTACGTGAACGCCGAAATTGATAACTGCTGGGGGAACTCTCATGGCTGTGGTCCGCGCGAAGCCCCCCAAACCTCGCTGCAAGGCTGCAGCTTGTTTGGGGGGGGGCGTCATGTTGCCTGTGGTCACTTTGATCCAGGCATTCACCTCGCGGACGGATTCGCGGGAAGGTACTTGACAGGACGGGTCCCAGTAGGGGCCAGTCGTTCTTGTGTCGTCTCCGCCACGCATATGTCCTACCGCACACCCGATGGCGACCCATGTGAGCCCAAAGGCAGTAATACAAATCCAATGGCCTCGCAGGTCGTAGTCGGATGTAGTCGGTTGGAATTTGCGGTATGTGGTCGGAAGCTTGCGTGAGGGTGGAAGCGGCACATGCTTCAATGCATTGCGTCTTCGAAAAAAGCTTCCAATTGGAGTAGGTGGGTGGACTTTAGGAGCGTAGTAGCGCAAGGGGATGCCCAACCAGCAGGTTCGCGCTAGGCGAAGCCCAGCTCCCGCTTTGTTGTACTGTAGTAGCGATAGTCCCAGTAGTAGGGGGCGAGCAATCTCAAGCAGTTATATCGATGGCAAATGGTACACGTCGCGCTGAGGTGTAGTCAGATGTGGGCGGCCGGACGCTTTGAGCCAAGCAGCCGCGGATGCACGCTCGTTCCCATTCACATGCAACACCCAGCTCACTTTAGAGTGGTACACCCAGGAGCGCAAAAAAAACAAAAGATGGCCTCCAATTCCCAAAGAATGGCCTAAAGAAAAGAGGGCCCGACATCTGTCCGAAAGTGGAAACCAGTGTGAGGCAGGCGACAAGACGCCACCAAGACATCCCCAAGTGGCCTCAAGATTGCCCCAAGATGGCCCCAGGGCGGCCCCCAAGAAACCTCCAGGCAACCCAAAATGGTCGAAGACTGCCCCCAGAAGGCGCCAAGAAGCCCACCGTTGACCTCGAGAAGTCTATCAAAGATCCCCCGAGATGTTCTGACAGCACGCTAAGGGGTCGGGGTTCCGATTGCAAAATTTCGGCGGGGTCGTGGGCCGTTGGGTGATGCACTCTGTTTCGCCCCAACGTGAGCTTCACACTACAGGTGGGGAAAACGACTACCACCGAACAACGTCGAGCACGCGGGCAAATTGCAAGGACGATACAAAGTGGGCCGGCGGAATGCGCGAGGCGGTCCGCCACGCCCCACTGGGCACGGCGTGCGGGATCCACCGCGTGGCCTGCAGGGAATGCTTCCTGTCACTCCTCTCACAGCGCGCTCCTCGTACCTGCCCCCGCCTCTGAGTCCTCACAGCCCCTCCCAGGGTTAAGTCGGGCATGTCCCCCTGCAGTGGGATTGTAGACGAAAAATGAAGAATACCCCCAAACATACTCCAAAATATACAGAAATAGTCAAAAAGTCGTCCCCTGAATATTTTTTAAACTATTTTTGAATATTGCTCCTGCAGAAGGACAGGCCCGCCTTAATCATAGGGTCCTCCCCGCGGCCCGCGCGCTCGGCCAGCCCGAGGGACCCGGCCGCGGCCAGGGCGCCCTCTGGCCACCACTTCCGCCCCAGGAAAGGTCCTCCCGTCGCGTGCTGGGCCTCACCGCGCCACCTGGCCCCGTCGGAGGTCTCTCCAGAGCCTGCTTGGCCGATTTGGGGGACCGCTTGGGAGCCCTTTCTGGGCTGATCTTTACCGTCCTTCGGGCTTCCACGGGCCGTCGTGGATGCCACGCCACCTCGGTTCGAGTCACATGATCCAGAGGACCCCAACAAGCAACAAAAACAAAGTAAAACACAGTAGCAGGACGATCATAATCCTCTCGCGCTTCTCACTGAGCCTCTCTGTGAGCTCCCGCGCATCTCTGCGGACTCTTGCGGCTATCTTGGATCATGCGGATACTCTCTGCGGCCATCCTCACAGCCTCTCGGGGACCTCCTCGACCGTCTGGGCGCCTCTTTGGCGCATGTTTCGGCTGTCTGGGGCGCCCCCAGAGAGCCCCCAGGCTTCCCTCCAGGAGCCACAAATTCATTCGGACTGCTGTTTTCCCCTCCCGTTTCCAACTTTCACCCCACTCCTGCGACAGATGCTCTGCAACATGGCACCAAGAGGCCCCCTAGAACGCCCACGAAGGGCACAAGATACCCCCAAGCAGGCCCCAAGAAGGCCCCGAGACGCCCCAACAGAGCCCGACATGGACCTCAAAACCCTCTTCAAAAGAGCCCCGCGAGAGCTCCAAGAGGCGGCTGTCATGTCTTCTACTCGGGGCGACATCCCTCCTGTTTATGTTTTCTCTCTATCTATCGCTCTCATTCTCTCTCCCTCTCTCTCTCTCTCTGTTCCTCTCTCTAGCTCTCTGTATAGGCTATCTATACCGGAGTCTCGAGCTCACAGCTCCTTCCTACAATCCTCCCTCCGCCGGGTGCACATCCACGGCTTCGGCATCAGCCCCAAGAGTCTCTGTTTGCCCCACGAAGTCCACGATCCAGAAATGGTAGGGCGGCGGTGTCTGCCCCCTCAGGGGCGCTAATTCGACCAGCAGGGAGCATCAGTCGACGGCGATGGGAGAAGCAGCTAAACAAACCGAGCAGGAGTCAGCACAGTTGGGTGGAGGTGGGGGGGGGGGGCAAGAATGCGAGCGAAAAGGGAGGCCGCACACGGACAGACGACAGAGGAATCCAGCATCAGGCAATGATGCATCGCCACTTTCGTCGTCGCCCTCCTCCATCTTGCTCCTCCGCCTCCCCCTTCCTGTGTGTCTTCTTTCCTCCCCCTCTTCTCCTCCCAGCGTAGACGCTGCAAGCTGATCTGTCGATGAAAACTGGGACGCCAGAGATCCCTGCCTCCTCGATGGGCCCAAAATTGCACAAACATGCGAGAACCAACCACAACATAACCATAACGCTACTCCCCGAACCTCCCCTGGGGTGCGTTCTGACTAGAATTGCGAGGCGAATCCAACGGTGGCGACAGTGGCCTCCAGGGAGGCCCCAGAAGCGAAAACGAGGCAAGGGTACCCGTATCGATACCTGTTCCTCCTCTGAAAGAGAGCCCCAGAAGAGGCCCCCGAGGGCCCCAAGACGGCCCCAAGACGGCCGCGAAAGCGCACCGAAGGCGCCCCAAGAGCCTCCGGCCAGGTATCCAAGGGGCGTTATGGTTGTCGGCCTCGGAGGCGGGGGGCCAAATCCGCGACCCTCTTCTCTGATCAATGGCCTCGACGAGGATCTCAAGGAGCCCCCCAAGGCCCCCAGGAGGGCCCCGTGAAAGCTCCCCAAAGGCATTAACACTAGCCCTACGATAGCCCTAGGAAACAACCACGAGGCCCCCATATCGAAATATCAGCACATGCATTTCTGGCTGACTCCTGTTCCTGGTCAGGCTGACCCCGATCTCCTGTTTGACGGCTGGCCCCCTCCTCTCTCCACTGCGTATTCCCACTTCGCTATATCATGCAATTCGCCTGGGCATCGCTGCTGGCAGGGCCGGTGGGGATACTTTTTGGTCTGCAGGCTCGCGAAGCAGGTCGGAAGCCGTCCGAACACTAGTCGGGCTGCGACTAGGCAGCAAGAAAAGAAAGGCAAGCGAAGCGAGCGCGCGGACAGCCACTCAGAAAAAGAGCCAGACGCGAAACTCCCAACCCGGTGGCGTGGAGATCCCGGTGGCGACCAGTAAGTAAGCGCAGCCAAAATGGCGCGGCGGCGCGACCATAGGCACGCAAAAGTCAATCACCCGGTGTGAGTCGGCACAAGGCACCGTCAGAGACGAGCAGGACCGACAGGTACTCATCTGAAGGGGATACGCCAAGCGCTCAGAAGTGCAGGCTGGTCGGCAAGATTGCACTATCTGATCGGCCACATCGGAACAGGCATGGGTGGGGGGTGTAGTCGGTTCGAGCAATGCCACGCGCGAACACAAGCACTCATAATCGAACCGACAGCCAACCTCTACCATTCTAACATGTGCTGTTTAGACGGAGTCTTCGAATGGGTGCGTCCAAACGAAATTCCCAAGCCACGCCGATCACAACCAGCGTCACCATCCACAGTCGAATGGTATAGCATGGACAAAGTCTTGATAGATGATTGACCACTACACTCTGAGGTGCGACAACTCACGCGCACTTCTTGGACACGCTGTCACCCGTACTGTCGAAGACGTAGCACTCCGTCAATTTTCTCCCCCTGAGAGCCCAAACTCACAATTCCAAATCAAAGCACGTTGCCACTGACCGCCTCCTCACTCGCAGAATCGCAGTGGTAGAGAAAGCCACACCAAGCTACACAGTCAGCCGAGAGAAGACCAAATCCTTGAAACCCTGCGTGCCATGCTCGCTCGCAGAACTCCACGTGGTCGAACGGTTCCAACTAGTACGCCAGTCTCGCGAACACTGGCCGCGCGACACCCCTACCTCGAACTGGGAACACGCCAACTACGAATATCCGTCCTCGCACGCGCTGATCCCAGCGGTGTAGCTATTGGCATCAGGCTCCAGCTTGATAAACAATAACTCATTGAACAACGCCAGGGCTCGCTGCCACTCCCCGCATTTCCCACAAGCGCTGATACCCGCGCTGTAGAGGAAAACGTCCGCTTCCAATTGTCCTTCGCACGACTCTTTAAGAAACGACAATGCACGCCGCCATTGCCCGCCTTTCTCGCACGCGCTCGCCCCGGCACTGTAAGTGATGACGTCCGGCGTCAGCTTCGCCAAGCGCAAATCGACGAACAACAACAGTGCCTGCTGCCATTGCCCACATTTCTCGCACGCGCTGATGGCGGCATTGAAACTGACCCTGCCTGAACCGTGCTCTATGTCCACGATCACCGATCTGCGTTACGTTCGATATGACCCTATTGCGATCTGACGGGCACAATGTTCGACCTCACACGCGAAATCATCCAAGAGGAAGGTGACTGCGACGCTCTTTGAAACCGCCCTGACCCTCCTTCGCCAGAAAACTGGACCACGAGGCCCTGTCCTGAATTCCGGCCCGCCTCGCCCTCGCCAGTCCCGAGACCCTCCCGATCCGTGTTCGACGCTCCCGGGGCCGAAAACGGCCCCCAGAGACCGAAGAGGGCGAAAAACCTTGCCGAACCCAGCACCTCAAACCCTGCTCGCCGGAACCAATGCTGGGCCACCTCAGGTCCCAAGCCTCAGCTCTCCTCCCACCCGAAGTCGGTGTCGGTAGGCGTCTCGGCAGGCGCGGCCTTGCTGCGTCGCATCACAAGCCCCTAAACTTCAGCTGGCGGCCCTCTGCTTCGGGCCCGCTCGTTTGGCTTTCTCGTTCGGTCCCCTCGGGCCCATCGTGTTCTGCACTGCGGTCGGTCCTTCTGCCCTCCTCAGCCCCTCCCTCGCCCATGCCCCCTCTATCCTGTCTCTCCACCTTCCACAGCTTTCGACCAACAACCAGCAGGTGGCTGATTCAGGGATCTCCTCGAGGGTTCCAGAAGAAGCCATAGATACCTACCTATATTAGCCAGTCCGTCGCGGAAAGGAGGCCCAGTAGCGCCAGATCATTTAACGTTAGGTCCAAGCCAAAATGCCCAGATAGCGCCAGAAAGCGCCAACAAGCGTAAATACAGCCAAATAGCGCCACATAGCCAAAATGAGCCTAAGTAACGCACACTAGCATGAGTAAGTTTCGAATCGTTCATGGCAAGTCCAACGCTTGTGTCATTGTTTTCGCCGCGCTGAGAAATACCCCCAAACCTGGACGATGTGTAATAACTATCGGTGTTATTTGCTTTGGGCACCCTGCGACAAAACAACTCCAATACGAAACAAGTCTCCATATATTTGAAATTATTCGGAACTCTGCGCGGATTTGTTTGATCTGCGCTGAGCGTAGAATCGAATCGGTAAGCCGGATCGGCAATCGGAGTGAACCGGATAGGCGGAACTCGGTAACATGGGGAACTCGGAAGCCAAATCGGTAGAAGTCGAATCGGCGGAAATCGGCAGGCCAGTAAGCATGCATTGAGACATCGGCATCCGAAATCGAGTCGAAACATAATCGGAAGCCATCGAAATAGAAAGCAGTCGGATCGGAGGCACCGACACAAGCCCTCCCATGAGGTCTAGAAAGGGCAAACGAACACGTCCCGAAACATACGAATTCCCGAAGTTCGAAGTTCGATCCTCGATCCCCGAAGTTCGATCATCAATCCTCGAAGTTCGATCCTCGACGTGCGATCTTCGAAGTTCGATGCTCGATCCTCGATACCCGATCCAAAAAGATCAGAAACTTTCGATCCTCGAAATTTGACCCTAGATCCTCGACGACGTCTGGCTCCAACCGAGCATCCCGCGGCAGCTCGGCCACCAGCGACAGCGCCCGCTCCCACTGCCTGCCCTTCTCGCAGGCGCTGATCGCGGCGTTGTGGCTTCAGCCCAGACCTCCAACGCCTGGCACACAGCCAAGATGGAGCTTCGGCGACTCTCATGCTCGAGACGGACGCTTTGCTCTGTCCACGCTGCAGGTGTCTCCGCGACGCGACGCGAAGCCTCCTCCTCCTACTCTTCCTCTTCCTCTTCCTCCTCCTCCTCCTCCTCCTCCGCTTCTACCTCCTCCTCCTCCTCCTCCTCTTCTTTCTCCTCCTCCTCCTCCTCTTCTTCCACTTCTTCCTCCTCCTCCTCCTCCTCCTCCTTCTCCTCCGCGTGGCTGCTGCTGGACCTCCCTCGAAACCCTGGCCGAGACGCTCCCCGGGAGATGTCCAGGAGGGCCGAGCCGCCCTCGGACCCCGGCCTCCGGCGCTGGGGGCTCCGCAGACGGGGGTCTATAGCTAAACGGGGGCTTGGGCTGTTCCATACACCCCCGTCTACTGTACACCCTGCGAGATGCTTAAGAAATCATGGGTTAAGAAATTCATGGTCTCAGAACTCGGATAAATCCCAACATTTCTATTAAAATCTTAGGATTTACATTGAAACATGAAGAATAATCGAGACTCTGGCCGAAAAATTAAGTTTTCTTAAGCATCGCCTTAGGTGTACTGTACCCCCGTCTACGGCACACAGCCAAACGTGGAAATCGGCGTTCTCCGTGCCCCCGTCTGCTGTACCCTCGTCTCTGGCGCCCTGACTCCAGCGCCGGGGGCCAGAGCCGGGAGCCAAGGCTGGGCCCTCGCGGAGTTCTCGGCCACCTGTGGCTGGTGTCTGGCCCCAGGCCCGTCAACAAACGGCTCGGGATGATTTTGTTTGCCCCCATAGCGCAGAGCGACGCAACACCTCGTCCTCCAGCTCTGCCTATCACCGCAGCGAGGCTGCTCCACGGCGCGAGGCGGCGGGAAGCAGGACGGCCGCCGAGCCGCGATGTCGACGAGCCGATGTGTTGTTAACGATCAAACAAACGGCTCGGGACGAGAAGGTACCTCCTGGGGCAAAACAAAGAACTGGCATGCCAGCTCTGCCGCTACTCTAAATAGGCACAGCACCGACCCAGACTGCAAAATCAGGCACGCATGCAACAAAGCACTGAGAATCCAAGCATGGACCCACTCAACATGTAAATGCTGTGTTGGGGGCGCGGCAAGAACATGCCCACTCCAGCGAGCCCAAACTGGCCACAAAACCTACCCAAAACGCATCCTAAAACGAATGGGGTCGATGAGTGCAGTCGGGCCGCTGAAAGAAGGATCGCTAGATTAGGAACGAAGCCCCTTCTTGGCCCTGTAAGCGCCTTCGTGCCCCAGGAGGGCAAGAGGAACAGCACTGGACGCACCTGAGGAACATCGAGCCCCTTCCGAACCCAAACTGTTCCTTATGTCAGCGTCTTGACCGTAGAGGAAAAGCCACAGAACGACCTGAGGAATATCGAGCCCCCTTCTTACCAAAACTGTTCCTTATCTCAGCGTCTTGACTGTAGACGCATGCTAATCCCAGGGTCGGGACTCCTGGACGACGGAGGGCGCCCCGCCGCTGGAGAGGCCAGGGCCCAAGACGTCAGAGGTCCAGGGGATGACGTCGGCCTCCAGCCTCGCGCCCAGCATCTCGCCCAGCAGGGACAGGGCCTGCTCCACGCCAGGGATCTGTCCACACCCACCGCGGTCGTCTTTCAAGCAGCGTGCTTTATCCTCCCTGTCGGTGGCGCGCCCGGGGGGAAAGTCTGCGAGAGCGGGCCGTCTCAGAAGGCTCGGAAGGCCTCGAGCCTGCTGAGAAATGCGGAGCTTTCACCAAAGACAGCGAAAACTTCTCGGAAGGCCGGAGGGCTTCTGAGAACCCCCGCCGCCTTCGGAAAAGGCCTGCTCCTCATCACTTCTCCCCCGGGGTCAACGTTTGGCCTCTGAGCCCAGACCCCCTCGCTTCGTGAAAGAATCACGACGGGACATCAGTCGGCGACTGGAGCAGGAGTCGGCACGTGTATCAGTGAGCGCAGGCCTTCTTAGAGAACCGCCGCCCTTCTCTGAGAAACCGTCTCCGTCTTCTCAGACGGTCAGAGGCCTTCTGAAGCTTCTGAAAGGGCTCGCCCCCCTCAGACTTCCCCACCGGGCTCGCCGCCGAATCCAGGGGTCCACCTGTGGAAAGGCAACGACGGCGTGGCGTATGGGGACGTCCTCCCGAGGGGCGCGCGGACCGTCGGACGTGGACCTGCCTCGCCGTCCGGAGGTGAGGAGCGATCCACAGCCCGCGCCACGCGAGGTCCCTGGGAGCACGCCACCAGATCGATTGATCTATGATGTTGGTAAGTCCCTGGCGTGGGCCTGCTGCCACTGACCGCTCTTCTCACAGGCGCCGATCCCAGCGGTGTAGCCCATGACGCCGGGATCCAACTCCACCTCACGTGACTCGCTGATCAACGCCAGCGCCAGCTGCCACCTCCCACCTTTCCCGCACGCGCTAACACCAGCAGCATAGATCATGGCGTCTGGCTGCAACTTTGCCCTCCCCACCTCGCTGAACAGCAAGACTGCATGCTGCCACCGCTCCGCTTTCCCGCACGCCCTGATCCCTGCGCCGTACAATCTGACGTCAGTTTCCAGACTCGCTTCCCACACCTCTCCGAGAAACGAAAGCGCATGCTGCCACAGCCCTCCTCTCTCGCACGCACTGATCCCGGTGCCGTAGCTGACAACGTTGAGCTCTAAGCTTGCCTGGCACAACTCGCTGTACAAGAGTAGGGCTTGCTGCCATCGATCGCCGTTTACGCACGCGCTGACCCCAGCGCTGTAACTAACAACATCTGGCCTCAGTGTCGCCAAGCTCAATTTACTGAACAACGACAGTGCACGCTGCCACTGTCCGCCTCTGTCACACGCGCTGATCCCTGCATTGAAACTAGCGACGTTTGGTTCCAGCTCCGACTTCCACACCTCGTCGACCAAGGATAGCGCATGCTCCCACTGAATGCCTTTTCCACACGCGCTGATCCCAATGCTGTAGGTGACTCAGAAACGCGAATGAACAGGCCCACGACAGACTGATTGAGACGATGTGCAGGATGCCCCCCATTGAGAGCAGGTGGCTGAAATTGAAATGCGAACGTGAGGAGGGGTGCAAAAAGAATGAGCTATTCTTCGCCGATCGAAATCGCCCGAACGTCATCACCGCTTTTCTCTCGATCGTCTTCTGGCCCTTCTTCATTTCCTGCCCAAATGAACTAACTGATACTGGTACCGATACTTCCTAGCCCCTGGGACCAGCTGCCGAGCTCCGGGACCATTAAACATTGATCCGGCCGCGCATTGAGACCATACGATCTCTTGATCTCTGGGTTCCCAGCTCAATGGGACTTTTCGACGGGTTGGGGGGCATAACGGCCCCCCGCAGTTCTACGTTTTCAAGTTTCCTATCGTGAGGTCTTGTGCGAGGCCCTCTTGGGCCATGTCAAAGCGATTCCACATCTTTCCCCTTCTCCTTTCTCTTCGGGAGAAGGAAAGCTTCTCCTGCTCTCCTCTGGCCTTTTCGCCGCCTTAGGCCATCAGAAAAGTTCAAAACAGCAAAACAAGCAACAAAAAAACAAACAAAACAAAAAAACAACTCTCCAGGATAATCCAGACTACAGCTGAACCCCTGCGAAACATTGCTGTTGTATGTTGTTGCTTGTTTTGCTTTTTTGTATTTCTTGCTTTGCGATGGTTTCCGAATGTTTGAACGAATCTGCCCCGACAAAGTGATTCTGATTGTGCTGAGGAGGAGGAAGAGGAGGAGGGGAGAGGGAGGACGAAGAGTAGGAGGAGGAGCAGTAGCAGTGCCAAAAGCAGCAGCAGCAGTAGCAGCCGTAGTAGTAGTAGAGGTAGTAGTAGTAGTGGTAGTAGTAGTAGTAGTAGCAGTAATAGTAGTAGTAGTCGTAGTAGTAGTCGTAGCACTAGCAGTCGTAGTAGTAAGTCGTAGTGGTTGTCGTTGTCGTAGTAGCAGTAGAAGTAGTAGTAGTCGTCGTAGTAGTAGTAGTAGTAGTGGTACAGTACAAGTTCAAGTACAAGTACAAGTACCAGTGGTAGTATAAGTAGTAGTAATACTAGTAGCGTTAGTAGTAATAGTAGTAGCAGTAGTAGTAGTAGCCGTCGTAGTAGTAGTAGTAGTAGGAGGAGGAGGCAGTAGTAGTGAAAGTAGCAATGGTAGTGGTAGTAGTTGCTGTAGTAGTCGTAGTAGCAGTGGAAGTAGCAGTGGTAGCACAAGTTGAAGTAGTAGTAGTAGTAGTAGTAGTAGTGATAATAGTAGTAGTAGTAGTAGTAGTGGTAGCAGTAGCAGTAATAGTAGTAGTAGTAGTAGTAGTAGTAGTAGTAGTAGTAGTAGTAGTAGTAGTAGTAGTAGTAGTAGTAGTAGTAGTAGTCGTCGTCGTAGTAGTCGTCAAAGTGGTAGTAGTAGTAGTAGTAGGGCTAGTAGTAGTAGAAGTAGTAGTAGTTGTAGTAGTAGTAGTAGTAGTAGTAGTAGTAGTAGTGGTAGTAGTCGTAGCAGTAGTACTAGTAGTAGTGGTAGTAGTAATAGTCGTAGTAGTAGTAGTAGTATGAGTAGTGGTAGTAATAGTAGTAGTAGTAGTAGCAGTAGTAGTAGTAGTAGTAGTAGTGGTAGTAGTAGTAATAGTAGTAGTAGTAGTCGTAGTAGTAGTAGTAGTAGTAGTAGTAGTAATGGTAGTACTAGCAGTAGTAGTCATAGTAGTAGCAGTAGTAGCAGTAGTAGAAGCAGTACCAGTTCTAGCCCTAGAAGTCCTAGTGGTAGGAGCAGTCGCAGTTGCAGCAGTAGTGGTAGAAGTAGCAGTAGCAGTAGTAGTGGTCGTCGTTGTCGTCCTAGTAGTTGCAATTGTCTATAGTCGTAGTCGCAGTAGTAGTAGTAGTAGTAGTAGTAGTAGTAATTGTAGTAGTAGTAGTAGTAACCGGAAGAGCAGTAGCAACGCTAGTAGAAGTCGTGTAGTAGTAGGCGTAGTCGCAGTCGTAGTCGTAGTCGTAGTAGTGCTAGTGTTAGTGTTCGTGTTCGTGTTATAGTGTTATAGTTAGTAGTAGTCGTAGTAGTAGAAGCAGCCGTAGACGTAGCAGTAGTAGAAGTACTAGTAGTAGTAGTAGTCGTAGTAGAAGTACTGGTAATAGTCGAATAGAGATTGCAGTAAAAGTCGTATTCGAAGTAGTCGTAGAAGCAGTCGTAGTATTCTCCGCGGTGGGAGTAGCAAAGGGCGTTGTATTAGGAGTAGTAATGGTAGTTGTGGGTGTAGTAGTAACAGCAGCAGTAGTAGTGATTTTCGTGATATTAATGGTAGCAGCAGCAGTGGCAATTCTTGTAGTAGTAGTAGCAGTCTGCGTAGTAGTGGTAGCAATCGAAGTATAAGTAGAAGCGCTAGTAGTAGCAGTAGCAGTAGAAGCAGCAGTAGTAACAGCATCAGGGCACGTAGGTTTAGTAACAGTAGCAGTACTGCTAGCAGTAAGTGTAGCACTGGGAGGCGGATTTGAATCTGTAGAAGTATGAGTAGTTGTAGTAGTTGTGGCAGTAGTCGTAGTCGTGGTGGTGGTGATGGTCGTAGAAGGTGTAGTCGTAGCAGCAGTGGTAACATTAGTAGTAGTCGTAGCAAACATGTATAGCAGTGGTACTAGCAATAGCACGAACAGCGGTAGTAATAGTAGTAGCGGTCGTAATAGTAGTAGTTGTTGCTGCTGTGGTAGTAGTAGTAGTAGTCGTCGTAATAGTAGTAGCAGTCGTAGTAGTCGTAGTAGTAGTCGTAGTAATAGTAGCAGTAGTAATAGCAATAATCATAATAATGGTGGGCGTGGGCGGCATCGAACATGGAGGCGTCCAGCCGTAGTACCAACAGCAGGGCAAGTAGGACTAGCAGTAGTAGCCGGAATGCTAGCAGTAGTAGTAGTAGTGGTGGGAGTTTTTGAATATGTAGTAGTTGTAGTAGTTGAAGAAATAGTAGTTGTAGCAGTCGAAGTAGTAGTAGTGGTGGTGGTGGTAGTAGAAAATGTAGTAGTCGCAGCAGTGGTAACATTAGTAGTAGTCGAAGCGGTACTATCCATCGGGGTAGTACTAGTGATAGCAAGAACAGCAGTAGTGATAGTAGTAGCAGTGGTAGTAGTAGTAGTAGTAGAAGTAGTAGTAGTAGTAGTTGTTGTTGTTGCTGCGGTAGTAGTAGTAGTAGTAGTAGTCATATAAGTAGTAGTAGTAGCAGTAGTAGTAGTAGTAGTGGTAGTAGTAGTAGTAGTAGCGGTAGTTGTAGTTGCAGTGGAAAAAGTTGTGGTAGTAGTAGTAGTAGTAGTAGTAGTCGTAGTAGTAGTACGTCGTAGTACTAGTGGTAGAAGTAGTGGTAGCGGTAGTGGTAGTAGTAGTAGCCGTCGTAGTCGTAGTCGCACTCGTAGTGGTAGTGGTAGTCGTAGTAGCAGTAGTAGTAGTAGTAGTACCAGTAGTAGTAGTAGTAGTAGTAGTAGTAGTAGTCGTAGTAGTAGTAGTAGTAGTAGTCGTAGTAGTAGTAGTAGTAGTAGTAGTAGTCGTAGTAGTCGTAGTAGCAGTCGTAGTAGCAGCAGCAGTAATAGTAACAGTTGTAGTAACAGTTGTAGTAGTAGTAGTAGTAGTAATAGTAGTAGTAGTAGTAGTAGTAGTAGTAGTAGTCGTAGTCGTAGTCGTAGTCGTAGTCGTAGTCGTAGTAGTAGTAGTAGTAGTAGTAGTAGTAGTAGTAGTAGTAGTAGTAGTAGTAGTAGTAGTAGTAATAGTAGTAGTGGTAGTAGTAGTAGTAGTAGTAATGGTGGGGGTTGGGGGCATCGAACATGGAAGCGTCGTCGTCGCTGTCATCTTCCTCAACAGCATGAAAACGTAAAAACGCGGGGGGCCGTTATGCCCCCTAACCCCTTTTCGACACCCCACATAATTCTGAGGTAAACTGGGCCACAGTCGACGGAAGGGACAACCATCCCTGATAGTGGTGCGTCGGAATGGACCACCCCCAAGGTTGTATCTCTGGGTTCTCCTTCTGTTCCGAACGGCAATTCTCTGGGGCGGGGAACTCGGGGATTGGGGGAGAGAAGTCTCCGGGGCTGGGAAAGGGAGCTTGATGTTGGCATCTGAGGAGCCTCATCAAAGCCCTTCTGTACGTTAGGAATCCTACGTTGGTGGGCCTCCTCTAGCTTCTTATAGCGGAAGATCGAAATCATGAACTACAAACGAACGCGCGATTTCCAAGTTCGGCTAAAGCCTTCTGAGCGTTCTGAGGACACATCTCCATCTGCCTTCCCCTGAAAGGGGACGATAGGGGGGGATCAGCTCAGGTGGAATGAAACCTCGAGCTGGAATCGACGATACGTCGCCGATGGATCCGAGGCAGGCTTCCGACGGCGAATCCAGACGTTCCTGGGCGGCGTGGTCATCGAACCCATGTCGGCGATCAATGGGCGACTGGAGGTCGTTGCACCCCCTCCCCCCCTTGAGCCTATCCGCCCCTGCG